GCTCCAAGTATATACTCCACTATATATACCTGGTCAGAGAGACAATTAGCTCCTAGTATATACTCCACTATACATACCTGGTCAGAGAGACAATTAGCTCCTAGTATATACTCCACTATATATACCTTGTCAGAGAGACAATTAGCTCCTAGTATATACTCCACTATACATACCTGGTCAGAGAGACAATTAGCTCCTAGTATATTTTCCACTATATATACCTGGTCAGAGAGACAATTAGCTCCTAGTATATACTCCACTATGTATACCTGGTCAGAGAGACAACTAGCTCCTAGTATATACTCCACTATATATACCTGGTCAGAGAAACAATTAGCTCCTAGTACATACTCCACTATATATACCTGGTCAGAGAGACAATTAGCTCCTAGTATATACTCCACTATACATACCTGGTCAGAGAGACAATTAGCTCCTAGTATATACTCCACTATACATACCTGGTCAGAGAGACAATTAGCTCCTAGTATATACTCCACTATACATACCTTGTCAGAGAGACAATTAGCTCCAAGTATATACTCCACTATATATACCTGGTCAGAGAGACAATTAGCTCCTAGTATATACCCCACTATATATACCTGGTCAGAGAGACAATTAGCTCCTAGTATATACTCCACTATGTATACCTGGTCAGAGAGACAATTAGCTCCAAGTATATACTCCACTATATACCTGGTCAGAGAGACAATTAGCTCCTAGTATATACTCCACTATATATACCTGGTCAGAGAGACAATTCGCTCCTAGTATATACTCCACTATATATACCTGGTCAGAGAGACAATTAGCTCCTAGTATATACTCCACTATGAATACCTGGTCAGAGAGACAATTAGCTCCTAGTATATACTCCTCTATATACACCTGGTCAGAGAGACAATTAGCTCCTAGTATATACTCCGCTGTATATACCTGGTCAGAGAGACAATTAGCTCCTAGTATATACTCCCCTTTCTATACCTGGTCAGAGAGACAATTAGCTCGAAGTATATACTCCACTATATATACCTGGTCAGAGAGACAATTAGCTCCTAGTATATACTCCCCTTTCTATACCTGGTCAGAGAGACAATTAGCTCCTAGTATATGCTCCACTATATATACCTGGTCAGAGAGACAATTAGCTCCTAGTATATACTCCACTATATATACCTGGTCAGAGAGATAATTAGCTTCTAGTATATGCTCCACTATGTATACCTGGTCAGAGAGACAATTAGCTCCTAGTATATACTCCACTATGTATACCTGGTCAGAGAGACAAGTAGCTCCTGGTATATACTCCACTATGTATACCTGGTCAGAGAGACAATTAGCTCCTAGTATATACTCCACTATATATACCTGGTCAGAGGGACAATTAGCTCCTAGTATATGCTCCACTATATATACCTGGTCAGAGAGACAAGTAGCTCCTGGTATATACTCCACTATGTATACCTGGTCAGAGAGACAATTAGCTCCTAGTATATACTCCCCTTTCTATACCTGGTCAAAGAGACAATTAGCTCCTAGTATATACTCCCCTTTCTATACCTGGTCAGAGAGACAATAAGCTCCTAGTATATACTCCCCTTTCTATACCTGGTCAGAGAGACAATTAGCTCCTAGTATATGCTCCACTATATATACCTGGTCAGAGAGACAATTAGCTCCTGGTATATACTCCACTATGTATACCTGGTCAGAGAGACAATTAGCTCCTAGTATATACTCCACTATATATACCTGGTCAGAGAGACAATTAGCTCCTAGTATATACTCCCCTTTCTTTACCTGGTCAGAGAGACAATTAGCTCCTAGTGTATACTCCACTATATATACCTGGTCAGAGAGACAATTAGCTCCTAGTATATACTCCCCTTTCTATACCTGGTCAGAGAGACAATTAGCTCCTAGTATATGCTCCACTATATATACCTGGTCAGAGAGACAATTAGCTCCTGGTATATACTCCACTATGTATACCTGGTCAGAGAAACAATTAGCTCCTAGTATATACTCCACTATATATACCTGGTCAGAGAGACAATTAGCTCCTAGTATATACTCCACTATGTATACCTGGTCAGAGAGACAAGTAGCTCCTAGTATATACTCCACTATGTATACCTGGTCAGAGAGACAATTAGCTCCTAGTATATACTCCACTATATATATCTGGGCAGAGAGACAATTAGCTCCTAGTATATACTCCACTATATATACCTGGGCAGAGAGACAATTAGCTCCTAGTATATACTCCCCTTTCTATACCTGGTCAGAGAGACAATTAGCTCCTAGTATATGCTCCACTATATATACCTGGTCAGAGAGACAATTAGCTCCTAGTATATACTCCACTATATATACCTGGTCAGAGGGACAATTAGCTCCAAGTATATACTCCACTATATATACCTGGTCAGAGGGACAATTAGCTCCTAGTATATGCTCCACTATATATACCTGGTCAGAGAGACAATTAGCTCCTAGTATATACTCCACTATATATACCTGGTCAGAGAGACAATTAGCTCCTAGTATATACTCCACTATGTATACCTGGTCAGAGAGACAAGTAGCTCCTAGTATATACTCCACTATGTATACCTGGTCAGAGAGACAATTAGCTCCTAGTATATACTCCACTATATATATCTGGGCAGAGAGACAATTAGCTCCTAGTATATACTCCACTATATATACCTGGGCAGAGAGACAACTAGCTCCTAGTATATACTCCCCTTTCTATACCTGGTCAGAGAGACAATTAGCTCCTAGTATATGCTCCACTATATATACCTGGTCAGAGGGACAATTAGCTCCTAGTATATACTCCCCTTTCTATACCTGGTCAGAGAGACAATTAGCTCCTAGTATATACTCCACTATGTATACCTGGTCAGAGAGACAATTAGCTCCTAGTATATACTCCACTATATATACCTGGTCTCCATCACATATTATCTGTTGGTGACTAAGATATTCAACAAATAAAGGTACTTCAGTGTTCTATTAGTCATTCTGAAAATAACAAAAAGCAAGTTCAAATGAAAGTTATTAATCTTGTGACGAAGTACATTGCTATTTGATTAATTTCTGCCTCTTGTCTTTGCAAAAAGATCAGTTTGTCCAGTCATAAAATTTGTGATCTTAACATCTTGCATTTTCCTACAGGTATTGTTTAGTGAAGCGCAGTATCGAGCCAGGCAGCATAATGACTGGAAACCCAATAACCATCTTTTGACAAAAGCAAAAATTGCTTCTTTCTTCAAATTTTAAATAGTTTCAGATACAGATGCTATGCTCGAAAAGCTCAGGTTTCGTTGAAGGATATCGAGTCTAGCCTGATCAGGTGGGGTAAATCTCATAGGTTTGTAAATCAATATTTACAAAAAGATAGGAAATAGCCATTTTATATGTCATTTTCCAGTGGTAATATGACAGTGCAAGTGCATCGTTTCCAATATCAAGTATGCTACCCAATAGTGTGCGTATTGACTGACAGGAATTTCTCAGGTGGTCGTATTCCTTGGTTAAAATTCCCTTCCTTCAACAACATGCACTCTCGTAAGTGTAGGTTTCATTTTGTGAGTTTCTGAAGAGTGCAGTTCTTGCTAAACATACGTGACACATTTGGTTGTGTGCACTCACAATAATAGATACATGATTTGCTCAAGGCTCCTCTGTTGTATTGTGGGATATGCTGTTATTGGAGGTTTGCATGATAGGTGGGAATGTAGACTTGTTTTCAGCGGAATCAGAATTTTTTCCTGTGCAACGGGGGACAATCTTGGGGGAATTTAATCACTTTTAAACATGGAATGAGTTGACAGAAAACAATGATGTTCTTTTTGGTTGTAATGGTTGATTTTGTGGACCAGATGTGCATTTGGAGCTAAACTTGTGTATCATCGAGAGAATTTAAGTTGATAGGTTTAAGGGTTACATTGTGTCTGTGCCAGCTGTTGTTTAATCAGTTATGGGCATTGCATGGTGATTGATGGAGTCAGGGTCGGATTAAATTATTGTAGTATCATGTGTTGTAAGAGAACATTATCTGGTTACATGGTATCATATTGTTTTGGTAGAATTATAAATTGAATTTGTTGCTGGTTTGATGCTTCTTGCGTAAGAGATTCTGGTCAGTGTATGTCCCATTGTTGTAAGAGAGGACTAAAACAGGATTGGGTGGTGACAAGAGATAATAAGTTGAGCTTACTAGGTGAAACAAAATCTTACCAGACTTGGGCTTCAATGTTGCCACACCTTAGCCCCGTGCAGGTTCAGCCTTGTGGCTAACTTTGCAGGCTGTGTTAGAAATGATAGTATACCTCATATTTGATCTAGGGAGTGATTTTGGTTATGTCACAGCATGTCAGTTTAATGCGGAAGGAAATCCCAGAGTGATGCAGCTCTTGGACAATTGCCACATAGGTAAACCCATGAGTATGTGCTGACAAACCATGGATCATAATCAGGGCGAATCATGGTCACAGGATCCTAACACATCTAAGGGACACAACTGTCCACAGTGAACTGCCACACCTTAGCCCCGTGCAGCACCAGTGCTTACAATGTTGTTCTGAGTTGATTACAGTTGAGGCTGTGTGGACATCGTGACTTGCGTGGTCCTGAAGCTGCTTGACCTTCTGTGGATGTGAGGTGGTATCAGTGTTACATCACGTCCTGGCTACACACACAATTTCAGCCAGATTACAGATGACACAGCAGAAATGAGTGATGCCATTTTGTCATGTCACCCTCCCTGTGGGGATTTCTTTGTAAGCAGCCCAACCCAAAGCCTGTTGTTAATGGCAACTACAATTAGTGAGGGCTTATGATGCTCTGTGGCAATAGCCACATGGGGAACATTTGAGAGGGATGGACTTGACAAATTATGTCCCTATGACAGGAATCACTCCCTGTTCATTGGAGCAGTGCGGTAGTCTTGTGCTTTATGATTATGGTGTTTATTATTGTGATTTCAGTGCCCGGTCCTGTGAGAAGCCTTCACGCTGAGGCTTTTGGGATGTCCTATGTCTTACTGAAATGGCTGCCACCAGACGAGCCAAACGGAATACTCCTTGGCTATGATATTGGATATCAACCAAGTAAGATACAGTGTCCTCATTTCTGTGTTAACCAACATCATCCAATATTCAATAAATGTGTTAAATGAGTCTTGGGTGTGTAAGAAGTCTGCTCTGCTTGTCTTGGCCAACTTCTGGATCTGAAGACCTGGCTGTAGCTCATCTTTGTATCTGCTACAAATACAATGCTTGCCATAAGAGTCAACTGAATACATACCCATGGCGATTCCAGATTAGAATATTGGCCCCAGCAACCTATCCTTATAGTAAGAATCAGCTAAATGTATCGGGTACTTAGGCTGGTGACTTGGTTGTTATATCCAAATTGTGTGGATTGATGCTCATGATGTCAATCACTGGATTGTCTTGTTCATACTCAAGTATTACAGACTGCCGTCATAGAGATGAAATATTGCTGAGATGGAAAAAGAGAAACAACCAAAACTGACCTGGAGATCAGGATTGGTGACATGGCTGTCATGTGTCATTCTGCCTGTGAGGTGCTCATGCTCTCAGTCACTGGTTCGTCTGGTCAAGCTCAATTATTTACTGACTGAAGTGATGTAGCTTGAGTATTGCTGCCTGTCTCCTAAGCAGCCATCTTGTCCCCGCGACAAGGTCCTTGGAAGCATTGTGTAAACCAAGTGTCTGACCTCCTGTAACATATACAGCTCATGTCAGTATACCTCAGATGCATTGTGTAAACCAAGTGTCTGACCTTCTGTAACATATACAGATGTCAGTATACCTCAGATGCTGTGAAACTATGTGAAAGCACATGTTAGTCAGTATACCTCAGATGCTGTGAAACTATGTGAAAGCACATGTTAGTCAGTACACCTCAGATGCTGTGATATTATGTGAAAGCACATGTTAGTCAGTACACCTCAGATGCTGTGAAACTATGTGAAAGCACATGTTGAACTGTTGCATTAACTGAGGCCATTGGTGATTTTAGCACCAACTACCAGTTCATGGGTTTCTGCTGCAAGGGGGGTAACTCATCTTTAACCAAGATCTCTTGAGTAGTTGAAGTGTCATAAAATATAGTCCTATTTGGATTCTACTCATTCTTTTTCATGATGTAGCATTACTCAATGAAATAACCAAACTATGTTTTCATGTGATGAGATGTTTAAAGTTCTGACATGTTCCTTGCAGTAATTTTGTACAGAATTTCTTGATATGACAAATAACACTAAGAATGCATTCCCAAAAGAATAATACTGATTAAATCTTCACATGTTTGAAAACATTCAATATCTAAACACTCATATTCTGATCTTTTTGGCAATTTATGAATCACTGCTGATGTTTCTCAATGACATAATGTTTTTCATTCTTCATTTCAGTTATGACAAACAATACCCTTGGGCCAGTGAAATCTCTTAAGCCTCAGATAACAAACCCATCAACATTAGGAGCCAGAATTACGGGCCTTGATCCTGATCATGAATATCGCTTCTATGTGTGGCCCCGCACTGACTCGGGCCGAGGAGACTCTATGTATCTTGACATCAAGACAGCTGACGGTAAACGTGAGTAGGCTGTGTGTCTCAGTGTAAATATATTCAGCATGGATGTAGTTTAAAGTATGAAGTCAGCAAGGTTCAAAACTTGATTTACAATTTTCCTCTTGGTTTCTTGCTGTAGAGTGGCATGCACTCAATTCATGATAGCATGCCCAATATTTATTTGGGATTTTCTAATTTAAAAAACTTTATTTAAATTTATTTTTAAAAATTCAAAAGAGGTATATGAGAAACCACTGACTTTGCTTCGATTTTGTAATTTTTCTCACAAAAGTTTCAATAAATATCAGTAATTGAGGTTATCAGAGAAAATATATTCACGATTATTGGTAGTGGTTTGAAACATTTAGAGATTTTTCTTACGTGAAGTCAGGGGATCTACATTTTATAAAGGAGGGCTACTGTCATCAACATTGCACTATACATATCCCTCATGTAACATGTCAAGTCAGGGATCCACATTTTATAAAGGGAGGCTACCGTCATCAACATTGCACTATACATATCCCTCATGTAACATGTCAAGTCAGGGATCCACATTTTATAAAGGGAGGCTACCGTCATCAACATTGCACTATACATATCCCTCATGTAACATGTCAAGTCAGGGATCCACATTTTATAAAGGGAGGCTACCGTCATCAACATTGCGCTGTACACAGTCTGGGAGAAGTGATAGATTAAAGAGCATCTTCAGATGTCAGATGTTTTGCTGAGTTAATTATTCTGTCTACAGTCAAAGCAAACCTGTAATCAGGCTTTAGATTCATAACTGGTCAAATATGAGTCAAATCATTATTTATATGGTCTTTATTAAATTATTGAGCATGGGACATGTACATACATGATAAACATTTGAGATGTGTATCTAGAGATTGTTGAGTTGTATATGACAACTAAAGTATCAATAGCTGTTACTTTTTTATACCCTCTTCAGCAAATTGAAAGGTAAAAACTTCGAAATGCCATTCAAAGACTTTTGGAACTGTTAAATGTAAGCAACATTACCTGATAACCCAGTGCCCCTGTTACTAAGGTTACTCAAGGAACTTCAGTTTATTTTTATATTTGTTAATTATTGAGGCTAAAGTGAGTGAGTGAGTTTTGGTTTTACGCCGCTTTTAGCAATATTCCGGCAATATCACAGCGGGGGACACCAGAACTGGGTTTCAAACATTGTACCCATGTCGGGAATCGAACCCGGGTCTTCGGCGTGACGAGCAAACGCTTTAACCACAAGGTTACCCTCTGTTGAGGCTAGAACACTCGGACTTGTTTGAATAAATTTCTGAAAACAACAAACATTTTAATATCAATGAACGTGTACCATCTGACTGTATACTTAACATCAGAGTGGTGTGTTGATGTGGGACCTGTACACACGAGAAAATACAAAATATATGCTGTTGACCACATGAAAGATCAAGGGCCTACTGTTTCAATTTCTGGTAAAATTGATGACCTAATATGCTGAAATTTTAGTTCATTTTTGAAAAATATTTAATCATATTTTGGCTTGAAAAGAATAAAATCAAGAATTAGCCTCTTTTAGATGTTAAGGCTATGCAGGGACTAGAACAACAGGATTATTACAAATAAATAGGTTAGGAAAGGACTATTGCAGTTTTTACATAAGTTTGTGTGAAATACATTCCCTCTCCTCCAAGTCTGCTATATTCACCACCTTGAACATTACAGTCTTGTGTTGTGTTCACTGTTGTTGAGTACTAACCAAATTCTGCATCATATATATAACCAAACCTCTGCATGTGTGATTCAACATGGACTATTATGTGAGCATACCCTACACAGTGTTTTGTCGTTCTTTCTCACCTGTGGTGAATGGTGTATACGAGTTGATGGTGGTGGCAGTCATGCCTGTTATCTGCACCCAGTGAACTGTATGTGTTGCCTAATAAACAGAATATGTGCCTTTGTTGTGTGTGACACTTGGTGGAGGTGTTCTGTACAGAAGGACTACAGAGGTGTTCTGTACAGAAGGACTACAGAGGTGTTCTTGTAGAAATGGACTACAGAGGTGTTCTGTACAGAAGGACTACAGAGGTGTTCTGTACAGAAGGACTACAGAGGTTTTCTTGTACTAATGGACTACAGAGGTGTTCTTGTACAGAAGGACTACAGAGGTTTTCTTGTACAGAAGGACTACAGAGGTGTTCTTGTACTACAGGACTACAGAGGTGTTCTTGTACTAAAGGACTACAGAGGTGTTCTGTACAGAAGGACTACAGAGGTGTTCTGTACAGAAGGACTACAGAGGTGTTCTTGTAGAAATGGACTACAGAGGTGTTCTTGTACTAATGGACTACAGAGGTGTTCTTGTACAGAAGGACTACAGAGGTGTTCTTGTACAGAAGGACTACAGAGGTTTTCTTGTACAGAAGGACTACAGAGGTTTTCTTGTATAGAAGGAATACAGAGGTGTTCTTGTACTACAGGACTACAGAGGTGTTCTTGTACTAAAGGACTACAGAGGTGTTCTGTACAGAAGGACTACAGAGGTGTTCTGTACAGAAGGACTACAGAGGTGTTCTTGTAGAAATGGACTACAGAGGTGTTCTTGTACTAATGGACTACAGAGGTGTTCTTGTACAGAAGGACTACAGAGGTGTTCTTGTACAGAAGGACTACAGAGGTGCTCTTGTACTACAGAGGTGTTCTTGTACAGAAGGACTACAGAGGTGTTCTTGTACTAAAGGACTACAGAGGTGTTCTGTACAGAAGGACTACAGAGGTGTTCTGTACAGAAGGACTACAGAGGTGTTCTTGTAGAAATGGACTACAGAGGTGTTCTTGTACTACAGGACTACAGAGGTGTTCTTGTACTAAAGGACTACAGAGGTGTTCTTGTGCACATAGACAACAGGTTTTCTTGGGCAAAATGAGTACAGAGGTGTTTTTGTACAGGACTACAGAGGTTTCCATGACAGAAGGACTACAGAGGTGTTCTTATACTACAGGACTACAGAGGTTTTCTTGTACTAAAGGACTAGAGGTTTTTTTGTACTATAGGACTACAGAGGTTTTCTTGTACTACAGGACTACAGAGGTTTTCTTGTACTAAAGGACTACAGAAGTTTTCTTGTACTTCAGTACTACAGAGGTGTTCTTGTACAGAAGGACTACAGAGGTGCTCTTGTACAGAAGGACTACAGAGGTGTTCTCGTACAGAAGGACTACAGAGGTTTTTTTGTACAGAAGGGCTACAGAGGTGTTCTTGTACAGAAGGACTACAGAAGTGTTCTTGTACAGAAGGACTACAGAGGTGTTCTTGTACAGGACTACAGAGGTGCTCTTGTACAGAAGGACTACAGAGATGTTCTTGTACAGAAGGACAACAGAGGTGTTCTTGTACAGAAGGACTACGGAGGTGTTCTTGTACAGAAGGACAACAGAGGTGTTCTTGTACAGAAGGACTGCAGAGGTGTTCTTGTACAGAAGGACTACAGAGGTGTTCTTGTACTACAGGACTACAGAGGTTTTCTTGTACAGAAGGACAACAGAGGTGTTCTTGTACAGAAGGACAACAGAGGTGTTCTTGTACAGAAGGACAACAGAGGTGTTCTTGTACAGAAGGACAACAGAGGTGTTCTTGTACAGAAGGACAACAGAGGTGTTCTTGTACAGAAGGACAACAGAGGTGTTCTTGTACAGAAGGACTACAGAGGTGTTCTTGTACAGAAGGACTACAGAGGTTTTCTTGTATCATCATTTCTTCCACTAAAGAATGGTCAGATTACTGACAGATCAGACCTTTGATATTGTGGAAACAATGATTTCCAGAACATGCCCGTTCTATGATGGACACCCCGGAGGATCTCGTGACCATACAAACCATGGCTTCTTTATTGGGAATCAATCTACCTGTGCAACAGTAGGTGAACCAATGATGGCAACGATGCTGTGAAACATACGTCTCTCTATCTGTGCTACTGTAATTACACTTTGAATCCAACAGTTCCTGGTTGCCATACCACAATATACCAGACTGTAACAGGAGGCAGCGGTAATGGTGCTTTACTAACCAGTACGTTACCCTGTGGGTTAGGGCAACATTTCTATCATTTGTACACCACATGACTGATTAGTGGGTTCCATGATTTTAAGAAGTCTTAATATTCATAACTAATTCTCCATGTTTAAGTAATAGCTAAAATGGGTCCCCATTGGGTAAAGTTATGTTCATTCGCTGTACGGAAAAATGAAAAAGACAGCATCATTCTTGTTTTCATTTTTTTAAATAAAAAAAGGACATTTCTTTTAATTTTTCAATAAGTTTTATCTAAGGATGACAACAAAGCAAAGAGCTCACCGTTGTTATTCAACTGCTCTATAAATGTTTAACAATAGGCATACATAGTGACAATCTTAAAACAGATTTTATTCAGTCCAAAGACCATTGGCCACAACAACAGTTAACAAAATAGGAAAACATGTTCTGCATGTAGCTGAATGAATTAAAATCCTGACAAGATATTAAGCAGCAATTTCAGTATTTGTGTAGAAACAAGCTGATACGATACAGTATTTCCTGTTTGAGATTCACTGATTCAAGATTCTATGTATGAAATGAAGAAAAGGTTGGAGACTAAATGGATTTCCAATTGCGGGGAAGTACAAGTTAAATGCATAAGCTGCACCAACGAGAAGGCTTAGATCGTGATAGACCTGACTGCCAAATACCTTGCCCATGTAGCAGCACAGCTAGCTCCATACATTCTGTGTCACATTCTTTCATTCTGTCTTCCTGTCATCTTCAGTACCTGTAGTACCAAAGCCATTACTGTCAGCCGTGCACCCGGCCAGTGCTAACTTCTCTTGGGCTACTGCTCACAGCTTGCACAAGAAAGACCTACATTTGACCCTCCAGTACAGGCGATATGGTATGGATTGGTTGTCTTGGTTTCTTATTCTCAGTTGTCAGCAAATCTTTGGGGCATTCATTACAACTTAACAACTCAGTTTCAATCTTGATTTCTTGTTGATGTTTAATTCACAGACCAGATGGGTGTTATTGCTTAATTTAATGTGGGTTGCTAAATTTTTTTACAAGAGTTTTGGAAGTTTTGATAAAAAGCCTGTACTTCCTTCTGAATGCAGTAAAGATGTTTTGTAGGTCATAATGACAGGCTGAAAAAAGCGAGATTTGGGCTGATTTAAAATTTGCCATGCCTACTTCATTTTCAATAATTTTTGGAACACCACTGTCCTATTAAGTGCATTTCGGGAAAAGAAAAGAAAACTTTTGATCGTATCGTTTTTAAGATGATCCAAGATTTATTTATTGTCCACAGGAGATGAGTTGTAGGTTCTTTGGTTGCATTGTTTTTATAGAAGATGTATGAATTTTCATGATTTCTCATTCTTTATTCTGTCACTTTTTCCACATCTTACGTCTGTTTTCTCTCGTTTTCCCGCCTACTTTCCCTGCTGCCTTGCTGTGATTGGTTGATCAGGAGATAATACTTGGAAGAGCACTGATTCTGAGTGGCGTAAACCGTGGACAATGATTAATAATCTAGCCCCAGGCTCAAAGTATGAAGTTCGTGTCGTAGCCCGAAACCGATTAGGTGACACGGCTAGTAGCGAGTCTTTATTGGTGAAAACACAATGGCCAGGTAAGCATTGTTACCACCTTAGTTTAGTTCCAAAGCCCATGTCTAACGTTGTCCGTTTTAGATTTAGATAGTCAATGTTCTATTGCGTGATCAAGGCTTTGCCTGCCTGCCTTCCTTCATCTCTCATGGAGGAGCAGGTGCTCAACTGGTATGTGCTACATGATGATTTTAACATCAGCATGGACAACTTGCTTTGCCTCGGACTGTGCCATGATCAGTGTTTCCAAATCATTCCTTTACACAGAAAACCACGTGAAGGAACAATAAATGTCTGCCATGTTTGGTCAGACATTCTGCTACTGTATAACCTTCACCACATCTGGTACAGATGTTAATAATTGTAGGTACTTGACTAGATTCTATTCTAGTACATTATTGAAGCATCTCAATTGAGTTAGCAAGTGTTGAAATGTGACAATATTTGTAAATACCCTACATTTAATTTAATGTGAGTGAATATTAAGATTGAAAATAAGCATTTTAAGATTGCATGTGAAAGTAGATTATGACTTATTACTGTTTGTTTAGGTTATGAATAATTCAACTGGTAGTTAATATCAGTAATTTAACCTTTAAATGTCGCGAAGAATGTTCACCTGTTTTGTCATATTGGAGATACTATGAGCAGGAATATTGTGTCATACCGACATTTATTACTTTATCAATATACCTACTGAGTCATGTGGTGCTACACTATACATCTTGTCACCAAGCAAGAAACAAATAAATATCAAAGTCCTCCTTGGAGCAACCCGACAAAGATAATTAAGAGGTGTGCTTCTCACACAGTGATGTCAGTGTGTCGAAGAATAAAATGGTATACATGTTCCGTGTTTGCTTGAATGTGTTGAGCTACACAGATTGTCTCCCTTGACTTGAGAGAGTTCTCCTGGTTTTGGAGACATTGATGGATGTTTTAGACTTGATGTGTGTCCAATCAACTGTGTGTTTATAGATATTTGCATGATTTGTGGTTCTGCATGAGTTGACACTGTTCCTGGGAATGTACTTCATGTGACTTGGTATCCATGTTTAGCAGTTTGAAAATGTTGACACTCTGTATCCAGAGTGATATTTGCAAGGTGTTACCATGATGTTGTTCTTGTTATAATGTCTGCCATTTGGACTTAGAGAGACCCAATACAACTGTCTATGTTAAGTATAGTTGTCTTGATATTATGAAAACTTAATGTGACTAGTTGATGGAAATATGAATAATATTCTATATTGATGTAACACATAGTCAGCCTCAGTTTAAGGTGAAATACACACATGACAATACTTTCTTGAAAACATTGACATTGTTCTAGGGTCAGCAGATCCGTCAACCAATCTAAAAAGTACCAATTATTTTATTCTGCCTAACGCACCACAACATATAAGACCAACTTGATGAAAAAGGCAAATGGCAATATATTCACAAACTGACCTGGTGTATTCAGCATATATATCATCTTCCCGAGGCAAGGGCGTTAACTGACTATAAAAGTCCAGTTTCCACCCTTGCCGAACTAGGCTGGAATTCCGGAGTTACAGTTTTGCTGTACTAACAAGTCTATCCATAGTCCAGTCAAAATTGGTTCCTAAACAACATGGGTTTCAGAGTACAGATGTCCATTGACTGCAGGATTTGCAAAGCATGTGCACCATCAACTGGGCGTCAACAGATATTTTCCAAATGTTTTCATGTTTTTAATCAAGGTGCTCAACTGATTTGGTGCACTTCTCTTAGTAAGACTTGTATTATTACAATATAGATCTTGATCATCGATCAGATCGTCCAGACCAGGCACCACCAATTTGGTTTGAAGCAAATGCAAGCAATATGAGCAATGGAATCTTATTGGTCAATAGGATGGAATATAGAAGGAACATAACTCGTAATAGCCACTGGTGGCGCTACGATCGAGCCTGGAAATTCCAGCCTAGTTCGGCAAGGGCGGAAACTGGACTTTCATAGTCAGTTAATGCCCTTGCCTCGGGAAGATGCGTAGGTATAGGCAGTCACTTATGTAGAGCATTACCATTACTTGGATCACCATTACAGACTTTCTGTTGAATGAAATGTTGCTTTTATTGACATGATGACATGGATACAGTACTGCAATATGATGTGAACGTTATAATACCTTGAAGAATGTTCAGTATATGTTTTAGGGTAGAATTCTATTCATTTCCTTATGATTGAACTTTATGTTTCAGAGGGCCAAAACTTTTACAGAGCATCCGATGGCGCCAGCTGCCAACACTCAACATCCTCCGCAGTCCTGTTGTTTTTTGTTCTCCTCATCACACAAGTCTTCCAACGGTGACCTCATCTGTAGCTGGTTGAGTTCCCCACAAGATGGCTCAGTCATCTGTACAGGAAGTGTTCAGGGGATATTGCCAGCCCCAAAATGCAATGATTCATATAAACACAACTTTCTGGGTATTTTTGTGGTGACAGACAGATCGTGATTCCAGGTATGCAAAGATATGACCACAAACATTGAAAGTGTTGTAAATAGAAAATCTCGGGCTGGCAAACCTGGATTTCTTTCACGGTGATGAATGCAGACACTTGTGTGGTTCCTTTGCAAGAATATATGAAGAATATTTTGCAGTTTTGTGACTACTCATGCACCATTTTCCCTGGTTCGAAGCATCGAAATTATGAGTAAATTGACCTTACAGAAAATACAGTTCCCGAAAAAAACAGAAGAGACAATTTTGCAATAAGATCATTACACATCATTGGTGTACAGTTCTGTGAAAATTCAAAATATGATGGCTTAAAAAATAAGCAGGCGATTCATTAATACTTTATGCACTAAATGTCTGCTTGCTCCAAATTATAGTAATTTGAACAAATGGCATGTTATCCAATTCTGTTTGCTGCTGTGTACATAGCCTGCATTTACAAAAACGACATTTTTAAATTTCTCGAAAGGAGGACCTTTCATTGTGTTTCTCTGAGCAGATATCAAACCTGAAGACTGTCACCTGATCCATCTTTATTTCTGATGTGAATATATGTACAGAATGACATCTCTAAAAACTGTATCTAGATATCAACCTGTGCAAGACTCAATTCAGTATCAGATGGACAAATACTCAAGTGGATCTATTGTGGAGAGTCGGTGTGTGACAAAGGACATCCAGCATTGTGAATGATGCTGTAAGGAAAGGAAGCAGTACAAACCAGGAATTATATTCCCTTAGGATGTTTGCAGTCTCCTGAAGAATGAAACGGTTTGGTTCTGCTGTGACATTTCCTTTTAAGAAGTGTGAGATGTCAAAGATTTTCTTGATGTGTAAATAATAATGTGGTTGGTAAAAGACTGAAAACTGTATTCTGGTTACATCTGTTCAGATCTAACCAGACATGTTCCAGATGTTGGTTTGTTCCTGTGCATAGATGCAGAGTGCTTCGCTCATGCATTTTTGTCATTTTCCCAAGCATTAATTTTTCAATGTCTAGGGTCTTTTTAATGCAATAATTCATTTAGGACATGAATGATTTGGGGTCATAATTGTGAATATTATGATGTTGATGCAAAACTGACCCAAAATGTTTGTGTGTTGTATTGAAGAAGATGTACACTGTTGATACAAAAGCATTCAGTAGTGATCCATGGACCGCTGTAGGTCTGATTCCAGTAGAAGAGGACAGGTTCTTGAGGAGCAGACCTTGAACACAATGTGATACATGTAGGCCAGTGCATCTGAACGCATACAAGGTCAACTATTCCTCATGTTTCTGTGGGCGACTGCTACTACTATTGGATGCATTGACAGTCATGTGCACACGATTCATGCAATTAATGTTAAGGTCAAGGTTGTTCCAACTTTGACCTTTGTGTTTCAATGTTATGCTTACCAGACAACATCATCCTGTAAATCACCTTCACCGAAGCCCATGCATTGACCTGTACCAGACAACAGCAGAACTTCTCACACCAAGTCATCTTGTTCTGTTCAGCTCTGACCAGTAGTCGCTAACAATGGAGAGTACATCTTTTTGGGCACCAGTGGACTTACTTTACCAGAGCTATGGCTGCAGAACATATTGCCAGCTCTATCTTAACAAATGACTTGTACAATTGGTTTCCATGGAGGATTGTGACTTGGCACCAGTGGACTTACTTTACCAGAGCTATGGATGAAGAAGCCTCAGACATTGCCACAACTTAATCAAGAACAATTTCTGTGACCAATGTTGTACAGAAACCTTGCATCTTTGAAAATACCTAAGTCATAATAAAGCTAGGTCAAAGTGTTCAATTGTAGGATGAGCAAAATGACCATGTACAGATTGCTTACAAATTTGGTTCATGAACTGAGGTGATGCCAGAGATAGGATATTTGCTGGATGTCAGAAGTTATTGCCCAGAGCAGTTTCTTAAAGACTGAACCAACAGGAGCCCTGTTCCTTAGGGCTTGGCTCACTGGTGTTCTTGAAATGTGTGTGTTAGCATCTGAAGTAAACCAGGTTTATGTGAGTACATGCATAAGGGCTGACACATTTAAGGTTTTCCTCATACATTATGTCATCACCATCAGCTTTCCGTGTTCAAGGTGTTTGTCCAGGATTTGCTGATCATGGAAGATGAACACACAGCTGTTCAGAATAGTTTTTACATAGGGCTGTAGTGATATGTGTAGGTAACATGGTGGGATAAAAACCTTACAGCTGTTCAGATGGTCAGGATAGTTTTTACATGGGGCTGTAGTGATAAGTGTAGGTGACATGGTGGGATAAAAACCTTACAACTCTTCAGATGGTCAGGATAGTTACTGTAGTGATTCAATGGCTTGTGTTCACAAGCTCAAAGCTGAATAACTTTCTATTCCATCGGGTGGTTACAACTAATGGAAGTGCATGTTATTTTCTAGTGGAATATAAAGAAATCATTGTCATTGTAATAATAACTATAACTTTATTATGCAAAATATGTCTAACTTTAGTCTCAAGTCTATTCCTTTTATGAAGGAATAAGCCGCTGGTACATGACAACTGCAAATGTTTCATTTATTCTCCAGAGTTCAAACAGGGCCAGTAGATCGGATGTTCCTTTGATTGTTATGGTGTGAAACATTATAAGTATTATTGAGTATCAAATATTAAGTGTATCATTACAGCCCTAGTATTAATACTGCATGGAAGATTACCATTGGCTATGAAACTAGTTTGCCTCTTTCCAGTTTGAACAATAACCTATCACGATGACTGCAGTGCCAACATTATAACAGGATTATTGTGAAAACCAAAGATCACTTCTTTAACTTTCATGAAACTTTAAATCAAATTACTCATAGGAGACAATTATCAATTTATTATAGAATCTACAGCTAAGTTGGTAATTATAAATGTGTAAACATTTTCCATGATCAGCAGGCCATTGTTGGTTGTGATTCAATCTATTCAAAATGGCTGCCACACATCTGCTACTAATCTGACTATTTACAGCCAATGTAAAACTGCACATTCTCTCTACACATTTTTGACACTTACTCATTAAGTATTCCTGTGACAGATGTACATGTCTAATTTGCCTTTCATACTATGCATCCTGAATCACCTTGTCAAGAAGTGGTAGTCAGACCAGGTAACCTTTTTGGGTGGGGCTTTCGGGGATTTATTCCGGAGGTGGTGGGTGGGGGCATTCTAAGATTTATTCCAGGTGGGGCGGGGTCCTGGCTTTCGGGGATTTAGTATCTGGAGTGGGGTTGGGGGGCTTTCTGAGATTTATTCACCTCAGTGGGGTCTGGAGCTTTTCTGGGATTTATTCTGTCTGGAATGGGGTGGGCAAATGATTATTATTTTTATTTTTTTTTTTTTTTTTTGGGGGGGGGGGGGGTCAGGTCTTCCTGGGATCTTTGTTTGAGACAGAATACCTTTGCCTATCAGACATACAATTCTTTTACTCTGAAAGGAAGAGTCAAACTAGTTTGGGAGGGACCACAACACATTATTTTTCAGATCAGTGATACATGCTTTATCAAAGTATCCCCCCCCACACCCCTCCAGAATATCAAATGGTCAGACCCTAAAGGTGTAGCTTTTTGAACTAATATCATAATGAACAAGACAAGACTTTAACACAGACTACAGACAATGGTACATGGATATGAAAACTTCAAAAATCAACCCAGTTCTGTTCCACACGTTTAACACTTTCGTTTAAGGAAACCAGATTGGTGGCCAAGCCATTTGCTCAAAGGTTGTGACAAAGTACTCTGTTCTGTCTAAGTGACCCTAGTCCTGTGTAGACAAATTAGAATCAGTCTATGTTTGTATTGAATTGGAAACCAGTGCATATGCAGTGAATTATTATTTGTATGACCTTTGACCCAACTGTGTGATCTCATCCGAGTTTGCTCAAGTAAGGAGTGCAGAAATAGTAGTCGGATGTTGAACGCATGCATGGCTAGCACAGGTTCAACATATCACTTCAGCTGGGAGTTGTTCAACTAGGACTTGTACTAAAACAGCCAGTCAATGATTTCTTACACTAAATCAGTTCAGTTTCTTGTTGCAGACAAATGCAAATCTATCCTAAATTTTCAGAAGAAAGAAAATCCAATTGAAAGGCTGTTTTGTTTATGTTTGTAAGTATTTTTATTTCTATTTGGGTTTAAAACTTTTTTAAGGGGTGACTTTGGGAAATACATAAATCCGGAAAATAAGTAAATTATAAAAATACATATGTCAAGCCCTAACAGTTGTTTCCTGAAAGTAAAAAATTCTTTTTAAAAACATTTGAAAAGTGACCACATCCTTCTAATCCCCTGAGGTAAAATGTGGAAATAGAATATTTTAAAAACATTTGAGAAGTGACCTCATCGTTCTAATCCCCTGAGGTAAAATGTGGAAATAGAACATTTTAAAAACAACTGAGCAAAAGACAGGTGACATGGCTGACAAGTTGTAAGATGCCTTTTGAACAATCTCAGAGATGCTGTGGTCAATAACAGTGTGTTACCTTGAAGATGTTGTTGCCAATTCCACTGATGCATTGTTAGAGATTCAGGAATTTGTAGATGAAAAACAACTGATGGATGGACAAATACATTTAGGTTTTGCAGAGAAGTATAGGGGACATAGAAGCAGCTTATCCACCTCTAAGCTTACAGAAATGAAAGAATTTGCATATTTGATCATATTTTCTCTGCAAAATCTTAGCTAATGTCTATTCGTTGATTGTTTTTAATGTCAACTATTTCATGATTGTTTTAAATGTCTGCATGTTTGTTTCTGAAAAACAATTACAAGTTACTTTCTTGGAAAATACAGTAATTGCTATAAAAACACTAGTTACTGAAATCATATCAAGATCTGTGAAACTTGACATCAAGGTATCTGCTAATTGCCCAAGCACACCAAGGAAAACTTATGATTATTTTTCAGAAGCAAATGTTTACTTTTCTGTAATTATATGCAGTTGAAGTTGATTAATGTTTTTGTTAAATGTGTGTTTTCTTTGAGGACCTATCTCTTGAGTTGTTATTGATAGAAATTTTGTCTTCATCTTCATCTGAAGATTGGATGCTTTTATTAAGGGTATCACTTACTGGTGCTATTTCTATGGCTATTAGAATATGTGTTGTTACATAGTAAATATGTCGGACTTATTCCAGGAATTTCTTTTTTTTTCTGCAATAACACGGTTTGAATTAGTTTCCATATATGATACAACATAGAAAAAATAAGAATAATTTTGTACTAAATATTTTAATGAAAGACAAACACTATACAAATGTCTAATATCGATTAACCCAAATTGAAAATACTTCTTTCCATAATTTCTTGTTTTTCCTATCAAGTACTCAATAGTTTATTTAATAGTATTATTGTTATCAATGAATTCTAGTCAAATTAACAGATATTTGATTGTGTCATGTATGTTGCACCTTGATGTGTTCTGAGTCAATTTGGGTGAAATAATTCCTTAGCGTATAATCCAGTTAGAATATTGTAACAAATGAGTAACTAGTCATGTTTTATAAAAAATAGGAAAAAATTCAGTAATTAAAATTCAATAGAACAATTTTTTAAATTAATATTTAATTGACTCAAAACATTTCCGGGCAGCATATATGGCAGGTGTTGTTGAATGAAATATGTTAGAAGTAGTGAACAGAATATGATGCCATTAAAGTGAAAAGGGAGATAAGCCATGAGAGTGACAAGGGAGGTAAGTCTTACTACCTAAGCGAGAAGGAGATAAGTCTGTATGGTTTCTTTCACTCATCAGGAATTAATTTGATTCTTCACTTGTGCTTATAGAGACAACTCATCATATTCATTTCAGGAAAATAGCAGATCTGAATTTGTCAATCTATAAGAATTGACAAATGAATTGTAGATCTAGCAGCATACATTCCGTAAGGTCACAATTTGTTGTTTTCTTTTTTTGTTCTCATTTGTGCAATACCATTATGAAATTATTATTTCTAAACTGTTCATAGTGTAAATAAATCACTATTTATTCAAAGATTAAGTGTCATGTTTTTCCTTTTCACTGAAGTACTAGGCCATGTGTGATTTGGTTGGTTGGTTGTTTTAAGCCGCACTCAGCAATATTCCAGACCAGTGATTGATATCATGAGCATCTATCAACGCAATTGGGATCAATGACGTGCTTCAACCAAGTCAGCCAGCCGGACCAGCCGATCCCGTTAGTCGCCTCTTACGACAAGCATAGTCACCTTTTTCGGCAAGCATGGGTTGCTGAAGACCTATTCTACCCCAGATCTTCACGGGTCCACCTTTTATGACAAGCATGGTTTGCTAAAGACCTATTCTACCCCAGATCTTCACGGGTCCACCTTTTAGGACAAGGATGGTTTGCTGAAGACCTATTCTACCCCAGATCTTCACGGGTCCACCTTTTATGACAAGCATGGTTTGCTGAAGACCTATTCTACCCCAGATTTTCACGGGTCAGAGCAATGTGTGAAGGCCATCACTGTTGTTACTAAGTGTGATATTACTGAAAGCAGCAAATGCCCTTACTCCCTGAGTTGTTGCTGGATCACTATCTGTGACCCACCATTTCTGGTTACAGTTAGAACTATCCCAATATCCAAATATCTCTGTGTGACATTGAGCAGTATAGCTAGTGCATTTTACACTAAGAACTATCCCAATATCCTTATGTGATGTTGAGCGGTATAGCTAGTTCACGTTACAGTATGAACTATACCAATATCCCTATGTGACAGTGAACAGTAAATGTATTGCTGGTTACAGTAAGAAGTATCCAAATATCCCTATGTGATGTTGAGCAGTATAGGTATTTGTCGTTAGTTAGAACTATCCTAATATCCCTATCTAACGTTGAGCAGTATAGGTATTTCTTGTTACAGTTAGACTATCCCAATATCCCTATCTACGGCTATCTAGCGGCCATAAAATGTCCGAGTCCTGTGATGGGATTCAAACCACGGACCTTCTGATCCGAGGTCGGAAGCCTTGTCCACATGACCAAAGAGGTTAACCCCGTCAGCAAGCTGACAAGGTAAGGATGTCATTTGTGGGATGACTCCACGCCCTACTACATAACGTTGAGCAGTATAGGTATGTCTTGTTACAGAAAGAACTATCCTAATATCCCTATGTGACGTTGAGCAGTATAGGTATTTCTTGTTACAGTTAGACTATCCAAATATCCCTATCTAACGTTGAGCAGTATAGGTATGTCTTGTTACACAAAGAACTATCCCTATGTGACGTTGAGCAGTATAGGTATTTCTTGTTACACAAAGAACTATCCCAATATCCCTATCTAACGTTGAGCAGTTTAGGTATGTCTTGTTACACAAAGAACTATCCCAATATCCCTATCCAACGTTGAGCAGTATAGGTATGTCTTGTTATAGAAAGAAATATCCTACTATCCCTGTGTGACGTTGAGCAGTATAGCTAGTTCACGTTACACTAAGAACTATATACCAATATCCCTATGTGACGGTGAACAATATAGGTATTTCACGTAACAGTAAGAACTTATCCCATTATCCCTATATTACATTGAGTATCAGAAGCGGCGCTTGGCAAGATCTCGATCTCTCTCTCTCTCTCTCAAAGTTATCACTGACATCTTATATCTTTGCAAAAGACCATTCGCATTGTATTTTCAACTCAGAAGATATACACGATCTAAAGACTTATTAAAGTATAGATTATGCTTAGCGTGTCCAATGATACCTTTGTTCTGAAATCGGGGTTACACCGGGGCAGCCAACCACAGGTATCTGCAAATTGGGCGAAAATGGACACTTTGTAAAAAGGTTAAAGCTGTTTTTGACACCTAAATTAAATATATCTGCACAGGAAGATACATAAATCACCTTAGTGTCATCATTTATCACTGACACACTGCTGTGATTGCCTTGTTTGTTTGTTTGTTTGTTGTTTACGCCGCATTCAGCAGTAGTCCAGCTTTTTGACGGCGGTTGGTAAATAATGCAGTCCAGACAATCCAGTGATTGGCATCACGAGCACTGATCCACGCAACAGGGACACAATGACATGCATGAGCAGGTCTGACCACCCGATCCCCTTAATCGCCTTTTACGACAAGTATAGTCGCCTTTCACGACAAGCATGGGTTGCTGAAGACCTATTCTACCCCGGAGCTTCAAGCAGTGACTGCATCTTAATTGTGATGTCAGTGACTAGATCGCTGTCATTTACAGACAGACCTCACATATATTTTAAACATTACTGTATGTGGTGTATACAACAAACACACAAACAATCCAAAACTTTGAAATAAAGATAACCAACCAATCAACATATTCTTTTGTCGAGCTGTCATGGCGAAGGTCACGTGACCTCATAGATGATATTTGTATCTGCGTGATTTAACTATGTGCAGTAGATACATCGTATGGTATTTCTGTGGAAATATAAACACAGTAACATGAATATTACAATTATAGAACTGCTTAGCGAATGAATGTGGGTATTGAAACGGTATCATTTGACAGACATCGTCTCTTGACTTCTTCAGCCCTTCAAGCCGTTCCCAGCTGATCTTTGTAAACATGTCACTTTCCTCCTGTCAACAACTGGGTGCAAGTGCTGAGGTCAAGGTCGGGGACAGAGCCCATGACGTCAGCATCGCCAGGTATGACGTCATGCCGCCAAGGCAGGCGGTCTGGGCTGTTGATCTTCAGCTGAGAGATTTGCTCTCGGGAAGGGCAGAGTGGGGGCGTGGCATTTTTACGCACTTGGTCTGTGAGATGGTCATTGTTTCAAGGTCACCATCCACCAAACGTATAATAAACATTCAATGTGACACTTGAGCAGGTAGCCGTCATGTAGGAGGAATGGTGGGAAATTTGAGAAAAATTGAAAATTTGAAAGCCATAAAAATCTTAACTCTTAAAATAAACCTGTGTCTCTTGGCGATTTCGTTTGTGGGAAAGATAATTTTATTATCTATTCAATAAAATATAATACGGGGATAATACAAGTACGCATGCGCACACCCGACGTGTTCAAAGTAGGTCCATTTTAGAGAGTTTTAGGCGTTTTACAACTTTCATAACTGACGACTAACATATTTTGTAAAGTGTATCCTTCTTTGTGTTTCAAAACTCAGAAAATAAAGACGATCCAAAGACTTATTATATGTATAGATTATGCTAGGGGGGCCCAATGATACATTCATCCTACAAAGGGGCTACATTTACACAAGAGCAGCCAGCCATAGGAATCTGTAAAATGGACGAAAACGGAAATTGGGTGAACAAAGTTAAAAGCCATTTTTGAACCTTAAAATAACTTCTTTTTCTTGGAAACATCTTTCATTGTGTATATCAATATCTGCACATTGAACTATTTCACATCAATATACATGAGCGCATGCGCTCAAGCGACACATGCATTTTCTGGACATCCTAAAAAAGGGTTACATTTACACAAGAGAAAACATTGTGAAAAACTTAAAAGCCGTTTCTGAATCTTAAAATAAACGTTTGTTTCTTATCGATATCATTATTGGTTATGTTCATTATATGATCTATTAAATAAAATAAAATATAGGAAAATACAAGTGATCAACTTAAAGGCGTTTTTGAACCTTAAAATACGCTTCTGTCTCTTGTCGATTTCGTTGTTGGTAAAGTACATTATATGATCTATTCAATAAAATAAGATATACGAAAGTACAAGTGCGCATGCGCACAGGCGACGTGGTCAAAGTAGCCCTTTAAGAGAGTTTTTCTGCCATTTCTACTGACATCTTATATATTTTGTGAAGTGTATCCTACAGTGTTCTTTTAACTAAGAAAATATACACCTTTAAAAGAGATATAACATGTATAGATTATGCTAAGTTTGTCCAATGATACATTTGTTCTGGAATCAGGGTTACATTTTACACCAGATCAGCCAGCCCTATGAATCTGAAAATGGGCCAAAATAGAAACATTGTGATCAACTTAAAGGCGTTTTTTAACCTTAAAATACACTTCTGTCTCTTGTCGATTTCATGGTTGGTAAAGTACATTATATAATCTATTCAATAAAATAAAATATAGGAAAATACAAGTGCGCATGCGCACAGGCGACGTGTTCAAAGTAGCCCTTTAAGAGAGTTTTTCTGCCATTTCTACTGACATCCTATATATTTTGTGAAGTGTATCCTACATTGTTCTTTCAACTCAGAAAATATACACCTTTCAAAGAGATATAACATGTCTAGATTATGCTAAGCTTGTCCAATGATACATTTGTTCTGAAATCAGGGATACATTTTACACCAGATCAGCCAGCCCTATGAATCTGAAAATGGGCCAAAATAGAAACATTGTGATCAACTTAAAAGCCGTTTTTAACCTTAAAATACACTTCTGTCTCTTGTCGATTTCATTGCTGGTAATGTTCATGATATGATCTATTCAATAAAATAAGATATACGAAAGTACAACTGCGCATGCGCACAGGCGACGTGTTCAAAGTAGCCCTTTGAGAGAGTTTTTCTGCTAGTTCTACTAAAATATTATATCTTTGTTGAAGTGTATCCTGCATCATTCTTTCAACTCAGAAAATATTCACCTTTTAAAGAGCTATAACATGTATAGATTATGCTAAGCTTGTCCAATGATGCATTTGATCTAAAATCAGAGATACAATTACACCAGAGCAGCCAGCCCTATGAATCTGAAAATGGGCCAAAATAGAAACATTGTGATCAACTTAAAGGCGTTTTTTAACCTTAAAATACACTTCTGTCTCTTGTCGATTTCGTTGTTGGTAAAGAACATTATATGATCTATTCAATAAACTAAGATATACGAAAGTACAAGTGCGCATGCGCACAGGCGACGTGTTCAAAGCAGCTCTTTAAGAGAGTTTTTCTGCCATTCCTACTGACATCTTATATATTTTGTGAAGTGTATCCTACATTGTTCTTTCAACTCAGAAAATATACACCTTTTAAAGAGCTACAACATGTATAGATTATGCTAAGCTTGTCCAGTG